AAACCAAAAGAATAATGCCTTTAGGTATAGAGAGTTCAGTAGGAAGAAAATTGGAAGAATTAGAGTTTGCAACTAAAAGGTGAGGATTGGGGATTGGGAGGTGGAAAATTGAGAGGAAGATGTCTGAAAGCTTTATGCGTCACTTTCAGAAATACTCATTTGGCTGAAACCATGGGGTTAAAACAAATTTCCCTAGGAAACTTCAGGCATCCACTTTTATCATAAGCACTAGCGTGCTGTGTCATCTTGCCCCTAAATTACTGGAATATTCAAATACTTTAAACCTTTTAATTATCTAAGATAGAAGGAAATACAATAAATTGGTAACATTTGTTGCCTTTGGGAAAAGAGGTTGATGTCAGAGAAACGGAGTAGAATTTGTATCTTTTAATTTTTATACCATAAGAATGCTGTGACCCCTGTTTGAAAATAAATTAGAACTGAAATTTTTCCTCTGTCTTGTTCTTTAAGTGGGTAGATTGTGGTTAAAGTGCTTTATTTGAAAGTACCATCAGTGGCCTGTATTTTCAGTTCATTATCAAAATATTTTTGCTACTCTTGTAAAAAATGCACATCTGTAATTGAGAATTGGTGATTTGAAATGAAAGACTTTTAGTCTGCAGTTCTTTAATTGCAAAACTCTTTATTTCTTTTTCTCATTTAGGTTGGGTATTAAAAACAAAGACATATTTTAGTAGAAATTCCCCTGTATTATTGCTTGGAAAATGTTATCATTTTAAATATGAAGGTAAGTGCTAAGTTTGTAATCCATTTGAAAATCTTTGCAGAAATTCACTGTGTAATTGTTTTCAGTATTTTATTCCCAGGTTAACCTACTTTTGGCATATTTCTTTTTATTTCTTATTTCCAGTTATTTTTATTGTAGTAAAATACACGTAACAAAAAGTTTACCATCTTAATCATTTTTTTAAGTGTACAGTTCAGTGGTTTTAAATGCATTCATAATGTTGTGCTACCATCAACACCATTCATTTCCAGAACTCTTCATCTGGTAAAGCTGAAATTCTGTACCTATTAAATAATAACTCCTCATTCCTCCCTTCCTTCCCCTGCCATTCTACTTTTTATGCCTGTGTTTTGGCATATTCCTTTTAAGAACCTGTATTTTATGTAACACATAAAATAACTGCCATATGGTTTGGGTTTCTTGTGAACTCCTTGAGAATAAAGATCATACCATCATGCACCATTTGTTGTATCCCTCATAATTTTGAACTTACAGTATGAGTGCTAAGTAAATATTATTTGAATTGATCTCTTAATATTCTTTATCAAGTTCTCTAATGATACTTTTAAAGATTATGATAATAATTGTCACCCTAGTTAACTATAAATGGTAAATTTTCCAATTCTTAAGGATGCTACAAGTTTCTGAAGTTATTTACTGTAGTTGATGTTTCTGAATTTTCACATATACTTATGCTTTCAATAATTATCATATATTTTAATAATGTATGCCACTTATTGAGTGCCTACTGTGTGTCAATTATTGTGCTAAAGTCTTTGGGAAATGTCTTTAATTCTCACAACAAACCTACAAGGTAAATTTAAGTATCCTTATCTTATACATTTGAAAGCAAGAGTTTGGAGAAGTTAAATAATTTGTCCAAAAGCACACAGGTATTAAATGACAGAGCTGAAATTTTAAACCAAAATCATGTTTCATTTTAATACTGGCATTCTTTATACTGTATGTCTTTGCTTGCTTTTTATGTATGAGTGTGTGTGTTTTGTGTGTGTGTGTGTGTGTGTGTGAGAGAGAGAGAGAGAGAGAGAGGAGAGAAGAGAGAGAGGAGTGGGAGAGGGAGAGAATGTATGTGACAGTATGTGCTTATCAAGGCTTTTATTCATTTTCAGTGGATCTTTTTTTGGTATGTCACTTGTCAGCAATCCCAATTGTCTAAAACCTAAATGGTTTGTAATAATAATAGCTAAAATTTATTGGGTATTTATAATGTGCCAGGCAGTATTTTAAGTAATTTACATGTATTAACTCATTGAGTCCTCACAGCATTCTTGGAAGATGAGTAGGAAGTTGATGGATAAAAACGGGATGCATCTTAGGTAAACAGAATGGCATGATGAAAGCAATGATGCTGAGATATTAGAGAGTGTATTTATGAAACAGAGATGTCCAGTGTAACTATGGTAAGAGAGAATTATGAAAAGGATCAAATTATGAAGGAGCATCTTGGTTGCTGTACTAAAGAGTTAGTTAGGTCCTTTGTTTACTGGCAAACGAAATTATGGGCTTTGGGGTCATACATGTGTGGGTTTGAATTTTGGCTCCTTTTGCTTATTGGTTGTTATTTTAGGCAAATTATTTAGTATCCCTAAATATTAATGATACCTATTTCATAGGCATTTAGTGATGTGTCTAGTACATGTAAGCATTCTGAATGATACAATTATTCATGATAAAAGGAGTGTGAGAAAAAATTGTTAGAATTCCTTTTAAGGATAGTTTTTTTTTTTTGGAAGAAATACTTTGAGCAGGTCCTTGTAGTGAACTTTTGGGGGTCCTCAATTCAAGAGATGAAAAGTAAACGATATGGGAGATATGAATGAGACAAATAGAAGACTATTTGGTTTTGGACTAGGAGTGGGGATATAGGAAAGAAGAAGGGGGTAGACAGGAGAGAAAGCCAGAAAGGAGGTGAGATTCTGCATATTGATTGAGAAGTTTCCTTGTTTACATGCCTTCATCTTCAGTAAAGTCAAGTGAGCTCATGAAATGCTTGATGTAAAATAAGAGAAGTTCTTTTGGAAAGTGGATGGATTTGCTATCAAGAATGAAAAGGCACCTTAAATCACTGCAGGAGCTAGAAGCAGGGTCAGGAGACCAAGAGAGTTTAAGCTATATAGAGTTAACAGAAATCTTGGGGGCTACCTTTGGAATTCTATGTGTGTCACACAATTTTTGGTTCAAGCAAGTTTTCTCAGTTTTCAGAGATAGGTGGTGGGGTACCCAGCTTCTTAACTACAGTGATTATTATCTTAGATTTTTAAGCAACAAAATGCCAGATTTCATTTGATTATATTCAGTGATCATGTATTGAGAACTTGCTGGCTAGGACACTGATCTTGCCCAGAAGGAGCACATGATAATCATAACTAAATATATGCTTTTGAAAAATAACTGATAGCAGTGTAGAAGAATGATTGGAAGTCAGTTGTCAGGCAAGATACCAGGACTCTGATATAGGGCAGTGGAAATGGAAAGGAGAGGATAGATTTGAGATATTATTTTAAGGTAGACTCAGTAACATCTGACAAATGATTGGATTTGAGGTCATGAGAGACAGAGGAGATAAAGAAGACTTAAAGGCTACTATCTTAGATGATAGGTGATGTTAGTAACTAAATGTGGTATACTAGAGGAAGCATGGATTTTGTGGGGACGTGGTATTTGAAGTAGGCTGTTCAGAAATAATCTGATGAAGTAGGAGGTTTGGCATTGATTTGTTAGTTACTTTCAAAAACGTAGCATTTGAGACTAATGGATAAGGTCACGTTGATGGAAAGTATAGGTAGAGAATATTCATCTTTAAGGATATACTCATGAAGAAGAATCAGTGGATGGAACTGAGAAGGAGTAGGCAGTACATAGGACAAAGCCCACAATAGTATATTATCATAGAGACTGAGAAAAGAGATTTTCAGGAAGAAAGTTTTGGACAAAGTGCTTAATGCTCAAAAGAGGTTAAACAGGAAATAACCTGAGTAGAGGCTGTAGGATTGTCAATGAGAAATTGCTGGTGACTTTTGAGAGACTTTCTCTGAGGTGGTAAGGATAGAAAAGTAGAAGTAGTAAAATTAAAAGCAACTAACTACATTTACAGAATGTGGCCCTTTGTTTTGCATCAAAGCCACATTGTATTGTTTTAAAGATTTAGTGGTTACAATATTGAAAACTTACGGTGTAAAACAAAAACCCCCGTATACAGGAAAAACATTGATGAATTTGACCAAATAAAATGAAAATATCTGTATCACAAAACACATTATGAACAATTATAAACATAAACAATTTAAAAGCAAGCTAGAGAGAGAAGATATTTGCACACACTCTATCAATCTTTTTCTCTCTGTATAGGTATATATGTGTTTGTGTGTGTCTGTGTGTGTATATGTCAAAGATCTATCTATCCATCATCTCTCTATCTATATCTTAGACAAAGGATTAGTCACCAAAATTACATTTTTTATAAATTAATATTAAAAACATGCACAACCCAAGAAAAAATGAGCCAAGAAAATGAACAGGTGCTTTTTAAGTAGAAACTTGAATGGTCAGTCAGACATAAGAAAATGCTCACCCTAGTTACAGAGTGAGTGCAGATTAAAATGAGGTAATATTTCTTAGTCATCAGATTTGCAAAAATTTAAAGGTTTCGTGATATCAAATGCTAGAAAGGGTGTGAAGTAGGAGGAGCTCAGACACTGCTCATGGGAGGTAAATTGTTACAACCTCTTCATGAAGTTGGAGAGTACTTAGAAAAATTGAAAATACACACAAGTTAGGACCCAGGAATTCTACTTTTAAGTATTTACCGTAGAGACATTCTCTGTATGTGTGGAGAACACTTGTACAAGGATGTTTATTGTAGCTTTGTTGAAATAACAAAAAAATTAGTAACGATTTAGGTATTTGTTAGTACTGGATTAGATGAATAAGGTTATTCATTCATTCTAAAAACATTTACTGAGAACCTGTTATGTGCCAGGTAGTGGGGTTACTGCTCAAAGAATGGCAGACACAGTACTTACACTTAAGGAGCTTACAGTCCAGTACATGAGAGACATTAAGTAATTATAAAAATTATTATCCCATTATGATATTTGTGATGAAACAGAAGTATAGGCTATTATGCACAGAGACAAATTAGAAAGGATGCTATTGGATGCAAATAAGCAGGAAGAACACTTCAAATAGCTGAAAACACAATAGAAGGGCTTATCATTCACAAGCAGAAAGCCTGACCTAGAGATGGCTCATGGTTGCTTGATCAGGGCCTCTGTGGCATCATCAAGGACTCGTGTTCGGTTCATCTCCTCACTCTGCTAACCTCAGCTTATTGGCCTTATCTTCACCTACCTCTCCTCGTAGTAGCAAATGTCTATCTCAGAACCAGGATAAGAGGTATGAAGGTTATGACAGAATCCACTGGAAGCAGGACTTTTTCTTCTTTGTTTTATTTCTTTATTATAAATATTAAATTTATTTAATAGAAATATTACTTTATTTTGATACTTTTATTTTCTCATATATTTACAATTTTGAAATTATGAATTATTCATACATAGAGAAGACAAAAACTTTGTTTACCTTGTTTATATACTTTCAAGAATAGTAATAAAACTTTATTAGGCAAGAGAAATATAAAATTATGAATAATTTTTAATCTCTGTATGCTTCTATATTGCAGCCCTCCTCATGCCAAAACACCCCACTATCCTGAAGTGGTAGGATTTAATGTTTCCTGATTTTGTCTTTTTTGAAAATGGAATCAAACTATGTTTCCATGACTTGCTTATGGCTTTCAAAGTTGTATTATTAAGATTTGTCCATGTTGTTATGTATAGTTCTAGATTTTTTACTGCTGCATAATATTCCACTGTATGAGTTACCACAAATTATTCAGTCTGCTATTGTTAGACATTTGTTTTCCTTCATCTTTGCCATTATAAGCAGTATATAATAGTATATTCCTCTATTTTTATATGACTATAGTCTCAGAATTTTTTGAAATATGACATTTACTGTTCACTAAAAATATTTAAATGCAGAATGAAGGGAATTAGTCATTAGCCTGAAGAATATCACATTTCTGTTCTTATTCATTTTTTAGATTCTCTTTTCTAATGAGTTTAACCCCAAACTATCTTCTTACATCTTTCTAGAAATTGTTTTGGTATCCTCAGAGAGGGAGGCCCTTGTACTTAAAAGCACACAAATTTAAGTGAGTCAAGTATAATTTTTAAGCAGGAAGAATAACAGTAAATAAGATCAAATATGCATTTGAAAATAGATTCAAATATGCGTTTTGAAGATAAGAGGAGTCACAATAAACAGTTAAAGTAAAAGAATTGGAGTATTTGTTCAAAAGAACAAAGGGGATTGTGACATGGAGGGAATAACATATTAAGGATTTTTTGTTGTTGTTAATGAAGTTTTGTAAGTTTTGAAATACATAACATAAAGATCTGTTGATTATGGGGGCTAATTTCCTTCATTTTTTACCCCTTTTGTGGGTATACAAACCCATAATATGTAAAGATTTCTATTTTTTAAAACATGTGTATACTTATTTTATCCCATGTCTGATAAGTACAGTAGCTGTACTCTTACAGGGTTTGTTTTGCAATTTGTTTTACTTCTGATTATTTCTCACATTAGCTTGTTTAATTGTGATTTTTGATAGAGATAATCAGCCTTGACTGAACCCTCAGTATTACACAGTTCTCTTCTATTTCCTTTATCAGCCTTCTTTCTCATTGTTTGTAATGGTTCTTTCAGGCATTTCTTTCAGGCATTCCCATTCTTCATAAATGTCTTATCAGAAGTCTCTCCCAGCATAGAAAACAAGATCAAAGCAAAACAAAATTTAAAAACCCATTCTCCTTTGGTTCCATATATCTTACATTCACCCCGACAAATCTGTGTTAGGCCCTGAAGATTCAGAGGTGCAGAAGAGAAACATATTTCTTCTACTCTAGTGTACTTCAAGTCTGGAGGGGAGGCAGATGTAAGTTAAAAAAAAATCATTCTAGATAAAATTGATGAAAATCATGGAAAGGAATGTCAGTCAAAGAGTGGATTAGCAGGGGCAGTGTTATAGTGGAAAGTCAACAGGACAACAAAGTTCATTTCTTACTAGCAGTTTTCCATAAAATTTAGAGTAAATATTAAGAGGAGACTAGATGTTAAGGGGATAAGGAATTAATCACTTTGTCAAGGTAGGAGATTAGAAAACAGTGTGTGTGGCAAGCCACAAGATGAGGTGTGAGAGTTATGCACTATTATATCAAATTTCAAATTTAAACATCTGTAAAGTGGAAATTTTGGACCTATTTGTAGTCCATACTCAATTTCCATTCATTTTTATTTGTAATTGAATTCAAAGTCTACTACTGAGAGAAATTCATTGATAACAGGAGGCTTGACTTGCGTTTTTAAAATTATCATTGCAACTATATACTACAACTTAGCTCCATTAAGATGAATATTATGAATTTTGGGGGATTGTAATTTTTTCAGAATGAGCTTGGAGAGGGATAGGTGCAGGAAGGATGAAGAATAAAGGCATGATAAAACTGCTCTAATATCCTGCAGAAGGGCATTAGAAATTGAATTCCTTGGAATTGAGAGTTATAGGGAGATTTATCTTCCTACCCATTCACCCACTCAAACCAGTCAACATTTATTAGGATCTGTTTGTGCTAGGCACTGTGCTGCACGCTGAGGTTGGAGAAATGACTAAGACTTTCTCTCTGGAAGTGATCAAGAAATGTTAGTTTACTTTGAGCACAGTGTTTTGTAAAGTATTGGGCAGATAGTGACCATTGTTTTCACATAGAAATTGTATTAAAGATAATTTGGAAAAGCACTTAAAAATGATATATATGGGTGCAACAATTTAAAAAATATGTATTTCAACATAAAAGAATAACAATATATTTAAGAATTTCATATTCTTACTCTAGCTTGTTAGTTTGATTTTATAATTTGAGTATAAATATTCATGACAGTAAATACAACGTGCACATTTCATTTGATTTTAAAAACTAGTTTATGTGTTACATTTTTACGTATTGACAAATTATGATATTTTATTTGCAAATCTCATTTTAAAGAGTACCAATATCTGTATCTTGAGTGAAATGAGGCAAAAAAAATTTTTATATTATCCCCTCATAAAAGAGTTGATTATATTTGGAATAAAGGATATTATCATTAACAGTGTTATTGGTAACACCTTATATTAGTGCTAGAGTGTACAAAACATTCAGCATTCATTCTCATTTGATTTTCACAACAATCTGAATAGGCAGAATTAAAGATTTATCTTCATTTAAATAAAAAAAAGGTTAAACAGACTTGCAGACATAGAGAACAAACTTGTGGTTACTGGGGGGGAAGGGGGACGTGGAGGGACAAATTGGGAGTTGGGGATTTGCAGATACTAACTACTATATGTAAAATAGATAAACAGCACAGGAAACTATATTCAATACCTTGTAATAGCCTATAATGAAAAAAGAATATGAAAAGGAGATATGTATAACTGAATCACTATGCTGTACACCAGAAATTAACACAACATTGTAAACTGACTGTATTTCAACAACAACAAAAAAAGGGTTGGAAATATTGTGACATACTCCATGTGAACAGCAATGGGAATATAATACCATTATTGACATTGCTTTGCATGTATTTAGACTAGTTTATATTTTTATTTTGTAGATGAAAATAAACTGTTACCTGCAAGATCAGGATGTACTATAGAAGATCATGTAATTGCGGGAAATGTAGAAGAATTTCGTAAAGATTTCATTTCAAGAATATGGCTTACCTACAGGGAAGAATTTCCTCAAATAGAAGGCTCAGCTTTGACAACAGACTGTGGTTGGGGCTGTACTTTAAGAACTGGCCAGATGTTGTTGGCTCAAGGACTCATACTACACTTTCTTGGGAGAGGTAAATCAAATACCTGTTGGGGGGGGTGCTATTGTTTTTTACATTTGAACTTCAGCTTGCGAACTGAATAAAATTCTCTGAGGTTAATTTCTTGATTCTCTGATATCTTCTAAAGAACTAATCTAGCATATAACATCTTTATTGAACTGGGACAGTATGACTTAGACTTTCATGATTCACCCTTCAAAAATACAGGTTAAACATACCTATTATTCTTGGCTACCACTATGAATTAATTGAGTTCAGTTTTTAGTAGTCTTTGAATTTTGTTGTTATTATTTGATTCTTTTCGATTGAACTCACTGGATTATTTCCAGTTCAGTAAATTCTGGGCAGGTCAAAAGCAGTGACTTTGAGCAGATAATTATTGAGCAGCTAATATTTTTACATTATTTAAATCTTAAGAAATTTTGCACTGGTTTCTTTATGTTTCTCTCTACATATCAGTAATGATGTAAAATTATTTTTATCTTTATAAATATGATTATAATCAGTTAAATTGATTAGGTATTTTCTTGATAAGATCTTCATGCTTTTTAGACTCAAAAATGTCTTTGATAACCTAAGTTATAAATATCTATTTTTTTAATGTGTCACCTTTTTCATCATTTCTATTAGTTCATTCTTATATAATGTGTCAATTTATAGGAGGATTTTAGTTTACCATTTTAGACCATCATATCTGGTTATTAGTAAATATCTTTTTATTTTTTTGAGTATTAGACAATTTCCCTGTGATGCATGGCAGATATTTAGTAACCTTTCTGCAGGGATTATTGATGAGATCATTTAGAGGGAATACGTATTCAAGAGTGGTGTGGATGATGCAAGGAAAAAGAATTTTTAAACTTTTTCTAGGATGATTTATTTGTAGTTTCATGCAATCATAGGCAAGAATTGGAATATTTTTCATAGTCCTGACTAGAGATCTGAATCTATGACTCATTTTGTTAACTTAAAATTGCATGTGTTTGGGCACTGTCTTGTTATTGAAAACAGTGTGGTAGTGGATATAGTTGATTTTTTTTTTTGAATCTTTGATCTCTGATAACTTCATTTATTAATTTTTTGTTTACTAGAGAATTGATCTTGCTCTCTATACAATAATTAAGTTATTTTGAAAGGATTATATGAGAAAAAAAAAGCATTGAAAAGATATATAAAATTTCCATGGTCAAACTTCTATTTTAACATATAACCAAACCAGAACCCACTTTCTGAAAGTATTCTCTTATGAATACTATGAATGTTAGTGGATATGTTTATTGTGCCTTTGGGTGGTCAGGACTGGACGTCTGGTGAGCAGTACTGGTAATGGAATACAACTCAACACTGTCAAAGGAAAGAAAACCGTATTCCAGAATTGTACACTTATTTGTACTTGAGTTTACTGTTTTTTCTCTTTTTTTCTTTCATTTTGGTAGTTTTTTCCAGATTATATGTAATATATTCCCATTAAAACATTTTTAGAAACTACAGGAAAGTCCAGAGAATAGTATTACCACTCAGAAGTAAACATCACTCGAGATACTGGCATGTTTTCTCTGCTCGTACCTTTGTTTTATTAAAGCAGCTTCACTGAGATATAATCTACATTCCATAAATTCACTCATTAAAAGTGAACAACAATTCAGCGGTTTTAGTATATTTACAGAGTTCTGCAACTATCACCATAATCTAATTTTAGGACATCTTCATCATCCCCCACAGAAACCTCACCCCATCAGTAGTCACTCCCAATGCCCTTCCTTCTCCATATGCAATCATTAATCTACTTTCTGTCTTTATAAATTTGCCCATTTCTAACTTTGCTATTTTAGTTTAGTAACTCATATGACTTTAAATGCTACATACTTATTTTAGTAGAATTGTTAAAGTCTAAATGTTTAAAAGATCTGAACACCTTGCTTTGGAACTACTATAGCTTGGACCTGGCCTGATGCTTTGAACATTGAAAATTCAGACTCTGAATCATGGACTTCCAACACTGTTAAAAAATTTACTGCATCATTTGAAGCATCGCTTTCAGGGGAAAGAGAACTCAAAACCCCAACAATGTGTCTGAAGGAAACAATCGGGAGATATTCCGATGATCGTGAAATGAAAAATGAAATTTATCACAGGAAAATCATCTCTTGGTTTGGTGATTCCCCCTTGGCTCTCTTTGGTTTACATCAACTAATAGAATATGGGAAGAAGTCTGGGAAAAAAGCTGGAGATTGGTATGGACCAGCTGTGGTTGCTCACATTTTAAGGTAAAATTGCTTTAAAATCTTTCATTTTATGACAGAGGCCCTCAGGCTCAGAGATACTGGTTTTTGCAGTGCATATATATTATTGCAATTTTTAAAGTCTACCTGTATGAGAATGTTCATAAAGGAGATTTCATTTGCTATTAGGGAAAAAACAAGACATAGTAAGACTGTAGTTACATTCCTTTAATTTATCTACTGACAAATTTTTCTTCTTTTCTCATAGGTATAGATATCCAAGTCTCTTTCTAACCAGGTTTTCATAAGACTACCTTACCGAAATATTCTGAAAACCAACAACTCTCTCCACCTTGGAACATGCATAACATTTCATATATATATATATATATATATTTTTTTTTTTGGTAGTGTAACCTGGGGGCTGTAATGTACTGAATAATGTAATGAAATGTCAAGAGCCAAAATTGATGTTTTCAAGCATTTCTTTGCACATATCAAATTCTTGTGAATTGTAAATGTATGGCACTATTAATATAATTATATCACAGTAAAAGTAAAGGGTCTGTGATATTCAAAGTAGTCGGAAAAAGTCAAAAGTCAGATGTCATTATACCTCAGCTTTTTATGTGCAATTTTTTTGGATACTATTTTTTTAATTATCTTTTTTGTGTGTCTCATTATTATAAACTGAATCGTTAATATGCCATCCAAGTATAGCATGTTGTAGTAAATTTAGTCCACTTAGAATCATATATAAAATTGAAATTATTACAGTTTTTTGGCATATTAACAGGCTTTTGTATTTTATAGGCCAGATGCTTACAACTGAAAAAGTATTTCCCTAATATTATTAAATGGATTGTTAATAATATCAATTCCAGCTTGGTATGACATTTCTAAGAATATAATCATAAAAGCATAGTTTTACTCTTCAAGATATTATGTTCTATACCCCAGGGGTTGGAACACTTTTTCTGTAAAAGACCTGATGGTAAATAGTTTAGGTTTTGCAGACTATATAAGGGCTCTACCACTCATTTTTCTTTTCTTTTTTTGTTTTATAATACTTGAAAACTGTAAAAACCATTCTTAACTTGCAGGCTGTATAATAACAGGCCACAGGTCATATTTGGCCTGTGGGCCATAGTTTGCCCATCCTTCTTCTACTAACACATACAAACATGCGTGAAAGGCATTTTAAGTTAAAAAATTATAAAGATACAGTTAAATAAAAGTATTTTTCTACAATTTGTATAATTTCTTTTTACAGATAATTGTTGTGATTTTTTTTTTCACATCATGTGAGCCATTGGGAACATTATACTCACTTGGAAATGTTTTTCAATTTGCAGTTTTCTTATGGAATTCTAAGACTTGAAAGTAGGAAATTTATTTGTTCAAGTAATATAGGTTTTTGAATGAAGGGAAAAAAAATCATGCTATTGTTTAAAGAAAAGAAAAATATTCTCATGAGTGTGACCAGAGGATAGTCATACTTTCCTAGTCAGTGATGTAAGTTAATGTGAAGCAAACCTTGAAACATATTGTAAAACCACTGGTTAGAAAACATTTAATATAGCCAAGTGAGTTAGAGACAAATTCCTTTTTGAGGGGGTCGAGGCAGGGTTCACACATTTATTCCCAAGAATTTTTTTATGTTTTCTGTAACTTATGTTTTAATGTTCTTTGAGTAATTTAGTGTAATATTCTACTTTGAAAAATGTGACCTGATTTTTGATACCATTCAGATGATAGTTTTGAGAGCAGACACTGTAGGTTAAATAGGAAAGTCAAGAAAATGATGGCTTTCTTTCCCCTTAAATTTAATCTTTAATTAACTGGAAATGTTAGTTAGGATTTTAAAGGATGATGCTTGTTATTTTCTTAGAAAAGCAGTTGAAGAAGCAAGACACCCTGATTTACAAGGAATAACTATTTATGTTGCGCAGGATTGTACAGGTGAGGAATGTGTTATATGATTCTGCTTTTTGTCTGTTTATTTGGTCAGACCTTTTTTAAAATTTAGATATGATTGATATATAACATTATATTAGTTTCAGATGTACAACATAGTGCTTCAGCTTTGTATAATTGCAAAATAATCACCACGATGTCTGCTTAGCATACGTCACCATACATAAGTACAAGAATTTTTTTCTTGTGATGAAAACTTTCACACAGACAATACAGTAGTACTATCTATAGTCCCTAGCCCCATGCTGTACATTACATCCTCATGCTGTTTATTTTATAGCTAGGAATTGTACCATTTAACCCCCTTCACCCATTTAATTCCCCCACCCAACTTCTGCCAACCATCAATCTATTCTCTGTATCTATGAGCTTGTTTTGTTTATTCATTTTGTTTTGCTTTTTAGATTACACATATAGGTGAGATCATATGGTATTTGTCTTTCTTTGACTTATTTCACATGGCATAAATCTCTTAAGGACCATCCATATTATCACAAATGGCAAGATTTCATTCTCTTTTATGACTAAATAATATTCCACTGATATATATGTACGATGTTTTCTTTATTCACAATCCATCGATAGACACTTAGATTGTTTCCAAAATGTCCCTTCAGATCTTCTGCCCATTTTTAATTGGAGTATTTGGTTTTTTTTATGTTGAGTTGTATGAGTCCTTTATATATTTTGGATATTAACCCCTTATCAGATATATGATTTGCAAATATTTTCTTCTATTTGGTAGGTTACTTTTTTTGTTGATGGTTTCCTTTGCTGTACAGAAACATTTTAGTTTGTTGTAGTCCCATTTATTTATTTTTGCTTTTGTTGCTTTGTGGTGTCAAATTTAAAAAATCATCACCAAGAGCAATGTCAAGGAGCTTTCTACCTGTTCTTCTAGTAGTTTATGGTTTCAGTTCTTTTATTCAAATCTTTGATCCATTTTGAGTTAATTTTTGTATATGGCATAAGATAGGGGTCCAGTTTTATTCTTTATGTGTAGCTGCCCAGTTTTCCCAGCACCATTCATTTATAGTTAGACTTTTCATATGTATTTAGCTTATCCCAGTTATACTGTAAATTTTTATGAAGGTAGGAACCATGTTTTACACATTTTCCTTCCTTCATGGCACCCTTTGTAGGCACTTATTAAATATTTCTTGGTTGAATATATACTATGAATTATTAGTTGCAATATTAAGTTTGTAAAGAAAATTTCAGTATTTAAAATGACTACTTAAAAAAATGATAGATGGGTAAATTTAACATAGGTATATGCTTGGGCTGCACTTCTGCCAAGTACCATCTCATTGGTGGATGTGTTTCAAGGAAGGAGAATTCTGTTTGATATGATTCTCACTAGTACTTAAGTAAATCATCTGATAATGATGTGGCTTTTGTCCAGAATTTTGCTTTATTTTATTGTTTTAGGTATTGCATTTAATGATAAGTATCTATAGTAATTTTGAAACTCTGCTGGGGATAAAATAGAGACCTTAATTTCCTGATAAAATAAAAGTACCTTCAAAATAAGGCACCTCATGTTGTTAAATTTATTTTTTACCAAAATGCTATTAACAGGATAAAATATATTGATGTTTTGGGGAAGTTAAGTATACTTCAATTATGTTTAATAAAAGGGGATTTACAAAATGCTTGAGGTTATCTTGGTAACTGACTAGTGTTTGTAGTGGGGAAATAATGGTTACCAAATACACGTGCATTTGTTTGGCCTTTTGTTAAGGTTAATTGGATTATAGTCACGTGAACATGAGAGTTTAAGTTTTCAGATGAGTATATGAACTTTGCAGGTACTGTATTTGTTTTTCAGGTAGGAAATCTTGCAAATAAAATGTGCAGTGTTGAGTTCTAATTAAGCCAAAGGATGTGCTTTAACAATTAATCATTAATAAATTTATGAATTTGCCTTTTGTGCTTTTATTGATATCAGTCAGCCTTGGTTGTGTTACATATTGTTAATGAAAGAACACAATATTACTCAATTTCTAAGTGGTTTATGTAACTTGAAGTAGATCTTAAGATTTTTAACATTGGTATTTAAACTTCTAAAAGGAGAGTTTATATTGGTGTAGTGTATTTTGATAGATTGTGGGGTTAGATTCTTTCTTGTGCTCTATTTTCTCTCCAATAGTGGTATCATCTCCACATGCATACTCATTCATTCTTGACTCTTCTTGATGCTTATATCTAGTTAGTCAACCGAAACTTAGTAAATTATACCTTAAAAAAATGCTTCTGAAATCTCTTCTCTCTTCTTCACTCTCATTGGTTTAAATCATACCTCTACCTTGGACTTTAATTTGAATTCCCTTTCTTTCTTTTCTCTTTCTGATTCATCTGATCAAAAGAAATTGATCATGTCCCCTAATTTAAAAACCTATGACTTCTCATTAAGTCTAGTCTCAAGTATTGTAACATATAAAGCATATGAAGTCCTTTATCATTTGTCCTGACCTACATTTCCAGCAT